TTGCTGTGGTTTGCAAAAAAGGAATTGAGTGATAATCATATTCGGTCTATAGTCTACTTTTCACTGACTTTAAAGTTTATAAAAACCATGAACTACAATGAACAAAACCAAACTAATATCTTATCACATAAATCCTAGATGGTAAAAAATATTTTCTATTTTATTCATCCTATTTTTGGGACATCCTGGGAAACTCATTACATTTTTTATTTTCCAATATTATTTTCTAATATGATATATCTATGTGTATATATATATTTATATATATGCTTTGGGACCACACTTGGCTGTGCTCAGGGCTTACTCTTGGGTTTGTACTCAGGAATCACCACTGGTTCTCACTGGAAAACATTGGTGTTGTACTGCCTGGCCCCTTCTTTTCTATTATTTTCTCTTTTTTATGAACAATTACTTTACACTTTATTTTATTTTATTTTATTTTATTTTTGCTTTTTGGGTCATACCAGCAATGCTCAGGGCTGACTCCTGTCTCTACACTCAGGAATCACTCATGGCAGTGCTCAGAAAACCATATGGGATTCTGGAAATGAAACCCGGGTCTGCCGCGTGCAAGGCAGCTATCCACTGTGCTATCGCTCCAGCCCCTATATGCTTTATTTTTTATTTCCATATCAGACATTATTTTCTCTAGCAATTTCATCAGTCTTCTTTGTCCTCTGCATTCTTATGGTGTTGTTAAGCTTGCTTTCTGATTTTATTATTTTTTGGTCCCCCCAAACAAATTTAATTATTTGATTACATTTTAGTTTCACATCAACACTTTGTTGATGATTTTAACATCTACAATGCTTATGGCTTCTAATTCTGGTTGATATAGATAGATAGATAGATAGATAGATAGATAGATATAGATATATAGATAGATAATAGATATAGATATATATGGATTTCAACCAATTTCATAAATTATTATGTATTGACTTATTATTCTTATAGATTAGTATTTTTGAGGGATTGCACTTTATTGTCAAATAATAATTATCCTAATCTTGTTAAGATTTGAGAAAGTTGATGTTGTTTTACCACTGACATGAGAACATATATACATACATACACAAATATATATACATACATAGAAGGGTAATGTTCTTCAACAGAGCATACAGATTGATCATTAATATTTTGGTCACGTTGATCACTTGGAAATATGTCTAAACTTCAAATTCAAGAAGAGATTCAGATTCAAAACCAGATTGTGACATTATAAGGCCCAAATTCCAATTACATTCTAATTCATGTAAGCAAATAAGGCAACTCCACCACAAGAATACCAATAAATCATCTTGTTTGTGTATTCTTCTCTTAATCTGATAGAGTATTATGCATAACATTCTCACTGTGAGTAGGTACTCACACACACGCTCATGCACACACATAGTGGGTATCATCATTATTTCCATCATTATGGTCATAACTATATAACTCCTTTCGGGATTATATTTTTTCTCTTTGAATATAATGTATTTCTCTGAATTACCATTCATTTCTGACATTTTTTGTAGAGTATAGTGGAGATAGCAATTGGAATGAAGGCATTGATTGAAAAAACTGTAGTCAAAGATGACTGCACAACTACCTAATACAAATTCTGGATCTCTGGCTGGGAAATAGTACAGTGGGTAGAGAATTTGACTTTATGACTGACCTACATTTAATTCCCAGCACTCCATATGGTCCCTCCAAGCCCACCAGGAGTGATCCCTGAGGTTAGAACCAAGAGTAAGCCTTCAGTAAGCACTTTGTTTCTACCACAAATAAAGAAACAAAGAAAAATCTAGGATCTCTATATAAGGAGGTGCACACTCAGAGTGAAAACTTATTTTTATACTATTAAGTATCACAGTTATGTTCTATTTTAAATTGCAAATTTCAATCTAGGAAATCAAAGTCTCTCAATCTAGGAAAACAATATACTGGCAGAAAATCTCACTATTGAATATTATTACAAATGGTTTGTCTTACTCATATTTTCATTATTTTACACTACATCAAACAATCTCAAACTTGCCTAACTTTAAAACAACTGCAACTATATTTAATATTTTAAAACTATAAGAAAATTCTATTGTCATCATTTAGGGGGAAATTCAATCTTTCTTTAATATTTACTCACAACCAAAACTTATTCTAGAACATCTGTGCAATATTGCTTTGACGCAAATGGCCAAATAGTTATTAATAAAATAACACAGGTAAATATTTGGATCAATTTCAGAAGAATTGAGAAATCCATAAAACTATCTTACAAAGTAAATTTTCATTGCTGACTCAATGTTAATTTTATGCTTTGTACCAAAAGTGAGGCAACTTTCTTTGGCAGTTTTTGAAATAAATAAGTAACATTTATTTCCAGGAACCTTCAATTTATAGGGAGCGGAGACCATTTTAAAGTCCTAGCTTGCCAACATCTACTTTTATCTCTTTTAATTATACACACTTTCTGTATTGCTTGGAAACTGACAAGACCCACTTGTCTATATAAAACTTAACTTCTCCTTACAAATAAAAATCACAATGAAAAGAGACGGCAGAAACAAGATATATCCTGAGAGAATCTTTCAACAACAAATTACAAATCAATCATTCTTAAAACTTTCAATCAATTTTTCACTTTTGATTTTGATTCGTTTATATAAATATTTGCATATATTTTGCTGTAAAATAGTTTTTGAAGCACTATGCATGAGATAGACCCTTACAAAGCTGTTCATGATTAGGTTTCAGTCATACGGTGTTCCAACACCCATCCCCCACCAGTGACCATTTCCCAACACCAGTATCCCCAGTTTCCCTCCCATCTCCCCACCCCTGCCTGCCTCTATGACAGACACTTTTCTTTTTTTTTTTGCTTTTTGGGTCAGACCTGATGATGCTGAGGGGTTACTCCTGGCTCCTGCGTTCAGGAATTACTCCTGGTGGTGCTTGGGGGACCATATAGGAAACTGGGAATCAAACCCGGGTCGTCCGCGTGCAAAGCAAACACCGTACCTGCTGTGCTATTGCTCCAGCCCCAGGTAGGCACTTTTCTTCTTACCCTCCCTCTCTTCTTCTCTCCCTCTCTTTTCTTTTGGGCATTGTGGTTTGCAATACAGATATTGAAAGCTATGAAGAGTATCCCGCCCGCAGGGCAGGTCTTGGCAAGCTACCCGTGGCGTATTGGATATGCCAAACACAGTAACAATAATGGGTCTCATTTCCCTGACCCTGACCGTGAAAGAGCCTCCAATACATTGGGAAGGTCAAGTAAGGAGAGGCTGCTAAAACCTCAGGGCTGGGATGAATGAAGACTTTACTGGTGCCTGCTCGAGTAAATCGATGAACAACGGGATGACAGTGAAAAAGTGATACAGTGATGTATTAATGCAAAGAGATCTGTATTAGAGCAGTAAATGATATATTGGATATTGAATTTGCTCCATATCAACTCTTAGTATTATATAGTTGGTTTACTGTTTAATTCATAGGTTAAGGTCATATATGCTAGCTATTCTATACTGAGAAGAAGCATGGAGAGTAACACCAAGGTAGAAACTTTTATTGTCACTTTATAAAATATACAATGGTTGAAAATAATAAAATGTGAACTTATATATATTTGTATATAAATTTAATAATTTTCCAGTAATACTTTATAGTAATTAAAATATAAAACTTTATGGGGCTGGAGCAATAGCACAGAGGGTAGGGCATTTGCCTTGCATGCAGCTGAACGGAGTTTGATTCCCAGCATCCTATATGGTCCCTCGAGTACCCCCAGTAATAATTTCTGAGAACAAAGCCAGGAATAACCCCTGTGCATTGCCAGGTGTGACCCAAAATGCAATATATATATATGCATTATGTTTATGTTTAATCCACTACATACTAAAGCTTAGCTTAGCTTTAGTATGTAGTGGATTAAACATAAACTAATCCTTAATTGATTTCTAGAACCTCTACAGTATGACTTCCAATGAGCCAGTTAACCTATCAGGATCGCAATTATTCCACTTGTGAAAACTTAAGTAATGACCCCTATACTATATTCCAAAATAATAAGAAAATGAAATTATTTATAAATAGTCAGTAAACTGTAAAATCTCATATATACATATATTTATAATAGTTTGAATCATAATCATTTGGGAAATAGCATTAGCTCTCAGGTAAAGGAAGCTTGGTGTTTATTAGAAAGCCAGTACGTATTCGTGCACTTTATAAATATAAGAACAAAAATTGACATCAGACAGAACTGCACTCAAATGACTCAGGGAGCTACGTAAGCTACAAGTCAAGTCATATTTTCTTATTATGAGAGTAAGCTTCTAAACTTAAAGGGGTTTGTGAGTATTCAAAGAAATAATACACTAAACACTTAGTATTTAGTACTAGGCATAAGGAAATTATTCACTAAATATTAGAGTAAAGGTAAAGGTAAAGGCCCTCCCGTTGATCGTCGATTTGCTCGAGCGGGCCCAGTAACGTCTCCATTGGAGACTTTGTTGTTACTGTGTCTGGCATATCGAATACTCTCGGTAGCTTGCCGGGCTCTCCGAGAGGGGCGGAGGAATCGAACTCGCGTCGGCCATGTAGGCCGCTTGTAAGGCGAACGCCCTACCCGCTGTGCTATCGCTCCAGCCCTAATATTAGAGTAGATGTTTAAGTATTTCTATATACAATTTTATTGTTTCTATGCATTTTCTTAGGAAACATAACACAATAGCTACCATTATTAGTTTGAAGCAAGGAAACAGACTTAAATAATTAAGCAATATTCACAAAATAATGTAGTCGCTTTAAATTTATGTCTACCCATAGTAAAATTGTTGACTATTCATACAAAATAACAACTACATAGTTTTCAAAATATTAAAAAAATAATTTTAGAAGCTATATTTAGAAGCATTCTCATTTTTAAACTATAAAGGATTTTGGCATAATAAATAATAACATGTTTAATTATAAATGGAAAAAATATTCACGAATCCTTTGTCACTTACCTGCTTGACTTGTTGGGTTCATGCTTATGGAAATCACTTCAATTGTTCTCTTCTGAGTCTCTTCTCATAACCCATTTCAAGGCTGCAAAAAATATATATATATATGTACAAAAGAAACAGTAAACAGGACCAGAGTGATAATACAGTTCATAAGGATCTTACCAGGCATTCAGCCAACCCAGGTGAGATCTTTGGCACCCCATATTGTCTTCAGAGCCCTGTCAAGAATGATCCTTGAGTTCAGAGCCAGAAGGAATCCCTGAGCACCTCTGGGTATGGCCCCAAACCAAACCGAACCAAACCAAACCAAAACCATGATACTTTCTTCTACAAGAATCTCCATAGATTATGGGACACAAATTAATTCAAATTTACATAGCACCTTTTTCCAAAGGCTTAAACAGATCTCAATAATGTTCTAAGTTCATGTTTCAGTTTTACATCTGAAACATTTGCATAGTGACAAACTTATCTTGAATTTCTCAGGGTACGACAAATTATCTATCACCAGGCATTTATTATGTTGCTATTGTTTATGAGATAAGTGAATGAATGTAATATTCAAACACATCATCTACAAAAATATTTCCAATCTCTTACTGAGGGACAAATTTTATGATGTGGCTATTGGCAGAGGAGAAACACAAACTAAAGAAAATTATTTCTGCTATATCAATAAATCTGACACTTCCAAGGCTACAATCTTGGTGAGGGAATCTACACGCAAAAGCAGAGATATCCCTCATTATCTCAATATTAAATAATTATCGAATGAACCATAAATCTATTCTTAAAAGTCTTTTTGTGTAGAAAAATACATATGCAGGAAATTTATTTTTCATTTGCTTTGATTTTTAATCTAAAGAAAAAAAGCAACTTATATAAAAAAAAGAGATAATATTTGTGATTAACAGAAATGGGAATGAAGAGGGAGGGTTTTGGATGAAGTTATCAAGAGGCACAAACTTTCCAGTATCATTTTCTCATTTTTTTTAAAGCTGGTGAGTGGATTCTAAGGGACTCACACTTACAAAGCAACTCTTTTACCACTAAGTTACATCCCTATCTACAATTTCCTTATCAAATAAATATGTATTAGGGATATAATGTCAATCATGACTATAATTATCAAAGCAAATAGATGAAAACAAATAAATCTCATTAAAAACTTGAACCTGCCCTTAGATTAATTATGAAGTTGAAAAGGTGAAACAAAAATTTTAGAATTGGAGTATGGCTATCTTATTGTCCTGATGACTCTTTTCCTACAAAATCTGCAAGCCACAAAAAATGAAAGATGCAAGAGAAAGAGAAGACAAACTGATAAAAGTAAAAGCTATTCTAGAATTTTTTCATTAATGTAAAATAAGCGTACTGACCTAAGTTGCTTTCTTAAAATAATTGGCACCTTTTCCATCAATTGGTAACTTTCCATCAACTTTCTTACTTGTTTTCCTACTTGTCGTGGCTACATGTGTAACCAATCTAAGCAGAAATAATTTTCAATTGCTGCTTACAAGGTACAAAGAATTGTTCTCTTTATTTGACAGAAATTACATAATTTGATGCCTGCATACCCCGTAATGTATTACTATCATTCTATATTTATAGACGAGAAAGCTGGAGTATATTTAAAATGTTCAAAATGCTGGTAATTGAGTAGAATTTGAATCTTCCTAAAATTGTTTATTTACTCTCTAAGGAACCGATTTCAAACTCCAAATGAAACTGAAACTCTTGATTTTATCTTCCATGCCCCCCACCATTTTCTAAAAAATAATGTTTCTGTTTGTATTCAAGCTAGAATATTTGTAGGAATATTCTTTAATTTTTCTTTTCCAAGATGATAATACAATCTAAAAATAGCTAGGATACATACCAGTCTCTTCTTACCAGTTTTTTAAAAAAATATCATTATCATGACAATATGACAAAAGCCTTTTACCTAGTCTCACTGATCTCATTTATGATTCCTTTGACAATGCACTGCTAATACTCTAGATAGGGTGGAAATTTTATATCATGCATCCTCATTTTACTGCCCTACTTAAAATTCTTCAATGGTTTTCTACAGCACTTGAAATAAAATCCAATTATCTTACTGAGACTACATGTTCTGATATGAACTATTCCCAGCCTACTTTTCAAATATTATCTTACAAGGTTTCTTCCTCATTTTTATGAACTCCTGAAGACACATTCCCTAATAAATCACTGTCTTCAACATTCAAGAATTTGCTACTCAGCAAATCAAGTTTGAAACATTTACAGTTGGGTCCTGTATATCCTTCAGGTCCCAGTTCAAAATTATTTCTCAAAGAGCTTTCATTTGACGCCATAAAGTGTCCCCCCTCCCATCATAACTTAATAACACACAAATTCATTTATTTTAACTATTATCTTTCTTCATTGGATGTTGGATCTATGTGGGAACTAATCCAGCTACTATTAGACAGCACTTAAGACACTGAGCTTAATAAATACATGGATTAATGAATATATTAAGAATCAGTAAAGTGAAATCATTGAAAGTATTTTCATAAATTTTTGCATACCTGCTCTTTAAAATATTGGAACAATTTCTAAGCCAGCAACACTTGAAAATCCCCAAGGGAACTTCAGTTTTGAATGAACTAAAATGCCTTGAATTTTCCTCTAGTGTGTTCCGACTTGATCAGAGGCACAAAGAAGAAAATCTGAAAGTGAAATGACCCATTTGGATGCCAACCAAGATTCTGAGAATCAGTATAAGGAAAATCCCATATGGTAAAGGTTCTAAAATGTGGGATCACTTCCAGATGAGTATCCACAAATGACAATCTTGCACAGTGCTTTTGCGATTGTTAAAAAGGCTACTCTCAATGAAGTGAGTCAGGAGTGAGGTTGAACTAAACAGGCAGATACTTAATCAATCTTGAATAAAACTGATCAGCATTTGTTAAAAAAATGAAAACAGAGGCAGAGTGATAGCATAGTGGGGGGAGCTTTTGATTTGCATGCAGTCCACGTGGATTGGATCAATGACATTCCATATAGTTCCCCCCCCCCCCGCCCCCACCAAAGCAACACAGAGAATAATTCCTGAGTGCAGAGGCAGGAGTAACATCTGAGCACTGCCGGGTGTGCCCCATTCCCCCCAAAAAAGAAAAAAAAACACTTAAAAATTTAAACAAAACAAGTTCTTTCGATCAGGAATATAGATATTATATATTATGTAGATATCGCAACATAATATCTATATTATAATATATTATATTACAAAATATATGTAGGATATATATTATATAATCCAGATTGAATATATATTTTCAGGAATATATATTATATGTTCCGATAAAAATAACTTGTTTTTAACTTTTTATATACATGTACATACACACATATGCATGTCGCATTTCCTTATGTTTTATTTCCCTAAAATGTAAACTAATAGAGACTGAAGAGATAGTACAGAGGGTCAGGCACTTGACTTGCATGGGCCCTACTCCTGTTCAATCTTGTCACTGCATGTATCCCTTAAACACCACCAAGGTGACCCTGAGAACCAATCAGAATATTTCCTTAGCATAGCATGGGGGTCTGAAAAACAAGCAAAAAACCAAAAACGTACAATAAGAACAGAACTATATGAATTAATCTATATTATTTTCAGAAAGTGTCCTAAATGTAATACCCTGCATATGGCATTCAGTGGCAATGATTCCTATATATACATTAGTAATTCCGGATTTAAATATGAACTTCTGTGAGAATTCAAAATCCAGGGATAAATGCTTAGAAATGTTTAAATCATGCGTGCCCTCGCTGTACCTCAGACCAATAACAGGCTAATGGGAAATCAATAATTGCATTGACAAATGCAGAATAATATTATAAATACATTTTGTCTTCCATATGTTTCATCAATGTTTTTTCTAGCCTACATTATCGTATTAATATAACAAAATGCATCTATAGTATATCTGAAGGACTGTTCAAGCTATTGGTGAGGCTTCTGGTTAATAAAAGGCTATAAGGCTATATAAGGCTATATAATAAAATTCTGGGGAAATACAGACCATCTTGAGTGGTCTGGAAAATCATTTGTAAGCTAAAGTGCATGTGTTGCATGTGGGAACCCTGAGTTTGTGACTGGCACCATACATCCCTTGAATGCCACTGGGGATGGGCTTCCAAGAACCACTGGAGCTGGCCTCCTGAAAAATCTATCCGCATAATTTCAACTATGAACAGGTCTGCACTCCACATTATTTAAGAGTAAACTACAACTAAATACCAGAATTCTCAATATAGAATATGTGATTTGGTTATGTGAATACATAAAATATTTCTTTCCCCTTTCCTTACCCAAAACACTCTGCTAGTGCATTGGCAACCACTGTTTTGAGTTGTTCAACTTAAAACAAAAATAGAATGTATTAAAATAAATTTGTCTTTAGAATATATAAAATTCAATTATTTTAATGAACAACTAATCCACTGAAGATATTTTATTCAATGGATATTTGAACACAACACTCAGAAGTTTATACTTATAAAAAAAGTTTAGGTCATTTTTACCCACTGCCCATACATTGGGTAGAAATCTGATGATAGATATCATTTTTGAATATTTTCCAAAATGATGTGTAATTCGAAGTTAATGTACAATTTCCACATGATAAAATATTATTATAACTATTATTATGAGACCAACAAAAATAAATATACAAGTAGTTATTAAGACTTATATACATTTTACTTACCTGTTAATTTATAAAATATTCTAAATAAATATTTTCTTTGTTTTGAAAACTGTTGTATATCTGTCTTACTGTGTTTCTTTAATAATAATAAAATAAATGAAATATTGAATTTTTATAATTGAATGAGGTTTTTAGTAACCTTTGCTTTATTTTGCACTTCTTTTCCAATTTCCAATGTATTTTACCTTAACTACCATATACTAAATCTTATAATACATCAGGGTATTAAGAGTATTTTTTTAATTTTTATATTTGGATGAAAATACTTCATTTAATTTAAACATGCATAAAATTTGCTAACAATAATTATTATATTTAGGTATTTACCAATAGTAGCTACT